GTAGAGTGCTGCTTTTTAAATTCAATTTGGACATTTCTTTGGACTAAAAAAATGGCAAAAAGACTCACACCGTTGAGCTGGCTCAACTCAACAGTGTAAGTGGGACTTGGCCCCGGGGTACAAGTACCAGTCTAGCTTGAAACTCGACTGTTGTATTATAGGCTGGTCAACGCGGTAGCCCAAGCAAACGGCATATTTTCCATTGGCACATTTTCTGTTCTTGTTGCCATTATTCGCTTAGGGCTGACGTATCAGAGGATTCTGTTGTGAGTTGAAGGAGGACGTCCAACTTGCAAGTCTTCTGCCTTTTCTTTTTTTTTTTTTTCTTTCACACACACACACTGCCCCATCTATTCTGAGGGGCGCCAGTCCGGTTACTTATCCCCGGCAAGCAGATCTGAGAACCACAAGAGCACGAAAAGACAAGCAGAAGGAGAAGGGGCTTAACCTGCCTGGCCCGAGACACCAATCAGCAGGGGACTAAAACCGGGTGATCATTCCCAGCAATCAGAGGGGGGCGGGGGCAGTTCATGGTGGGCGGGAAAACTTCCTGACGGTACCCAGACCCCATCATGAGCTGTCCCAGGATCCTCCTCTCCTGGAAAAGACCACCCCGGAACAGTCTACTAGCCCTCAATCATGTTTGTTTATCAGGATACAGAAGTCCCTACCTAAACAAAGACTCCAAGACTACACCTCCCCTACCACTATTCCACATCCGCATCGCTTCGTAACCAATACTGCCTACATACACTTCACTTCTTACCCTATGACACATCTTATACTCTGCAATTAGCTAATAGCAGCAGATCCATTAGTAGACCAGCCAGTTCCCACCCATACAGCTGTTCATCCTGGAAAGTTTGTGTCAGCTTAGTGACTCCCGATAGGTTCACTCAATCCCCTCCCCTCCCCCCCCCTCCCCCCCTCCCTATTCTAATAATGTACACTACTGCACTTTGGTGGCCCTACTCTAACTCCATTCTATCCGACTGTTCCTATACAGATTCTCTGGCACACAACACCGGGCCATACTTCCAAAGATTTACATCCCCATCCTGCTGGACCAAACCTGGGTACTCTCCCCATACATCCCAGAATTTCGACAGTCCGTGGTCTGCAGCTCGCCTACTGCGGAGGGCTTCAGCTGACATCACGGTTCTCAGGTTCTCCAGGGCACGTGCCCGTAAGGCTGGGAGAGTGACCTCCCTCCCTTGTCTACAGCGCTCATTCCGGAGGGTTTATATCGTCCAAAGGGCGGCAGCACGCAGCACCTCCGAGGCATATAATTCCTTTTTGTTTTTTCTTTCCACTTTGACCACAGCCTCATGTGCATGAATGTGGATGACTCTCAGGAAATGTGCATACATTCGACTCTCAGGAAATGTGCATACGTCCAACTTGCAAGTCTTCTGCCTTTTAATGTGCATGAATGTGGACGCATGCGTGTGTGGCGAAAACTGGTCACATTCGTATTTGCAAGCGGCATCCAAATGTTCAGGTTTGTATACGGGCACAGGCTGGCCACATACAGTGCTGCATGGACGTCCTCTCTCTCTCTCTCTCTCTCTCTCTCTCTCTCTCTCTCTCTCTCTCTCTCTCTCTCTCTCAATGTAGAGTGTTGCATTTTAAATTCATTTTCAACATTTCTTTGGACTAAAAGACTGGCAAAAAGACTGTCACACCGTTGAGGTGGCTCAATTGAACAGTGTACTAAGTGGGACTTGGCCCCAAGGTACCAGTACCAGCCTACCTTGAAACTGAAGTGCTTTACTACCTTTTTTTGGGGGGGGTAGGTAGCTCAGCGCGGTAGCCCAAGCAAACGGCATATTTTCCATTGACACGTTTTCCGTTCTTGTTGCCATTATTTGCTGAGGGTTGACGTATCAGAGGATTCTGCTGTGAGATGAAGGATGATGTCCAACTTGCATTTCTTTTCTTTTTTTTTTTAGGAGTACCCGAGTCTTCTGCCTTTTCATGTGCATGAATGTGGATAACTCTCAAGAAATGTGCATACATCCGAGACCTCCCCTTTACTCTGCGTGTATGACCAAATCACATCCACATTTGTATTTGCAAACGGCATCCAAATGTGCAAGTGTGTATATGGGCATAGTCTGTGGCCACATACAGAGCTGCATGGACGTCGTGTCTCTCTCCTTCACGGGATTCACACGCGAAGCATCTGCTCTCTCTCTCTCTCTCTCTCTCTCTCTCTCTCTCTCTCTCTCTCTCTCTCTCTCTCTCTCTCTCT